GTCAATATAAATCCTGCATACTGTATATAATATATATAGACATTTATTTGCTTCATACATACTGTACATAATCATACGAGGCTATCAAGGCTCTTCTCCTGAAGACATTTGGTTTATCGACGAGAGAAAGAGCCCGCCAAATTATGGACATTCAGGGCCTCGGAGATGGCAAGCCATCTCAGTTAATGGAGAAGATGCTAAGCCTGCTAGGAGGGGAAGATACCCAGATTTTGTTCATGGAGATGTTTCTTCAACACTTACCTCCCCGGGTCCAGACGGTGTTGGCCAACACACCCATCACGGAGCCCCGCGCGCTGGCCGGAGAAGCGGACCGTTTCTTCCTGGCTACACGACAGTCTGGTGCGGAGACGTTGGTTGTGGCGCACAGCGGCCCTTCGGGGGGCAAGAAAGCATGGCGGAGGCCGGACACAGCGGCGCCGAGTCGGCGAAGGGATACCGGTGAGTGTTTCTACCATGCACGTTTCGGGACAATGGCAAAGAGTTGCATCGCTCCATGCAGCTACAAGCCTCCGGGAAACGGAGGTGCCGACGCTCAGTAGTGGCTCTGAGTGTCGGCGGCACGGGCAGGCTCCTTTTCGTCAAAGACAGTGTTTCAGGGAACCTGTTTCTGTGCGACACGGGTGCGCAGCGGAGTGTGGTTCCCGCGTCGAGAGAAGACATCACTCGAGGCGGGCACGGCCCACGGCTAACAACGGCTAACGGCGGGGCCCATTCGCACGTACGGATTACGGCTTATGTGTTTGTGCATCGGCGGACAGCGTTTCAGCTGGGAGTTTGTAACAGCGGACATTTCTTTTCCTCTTCTTGGGGCGGATTTTTTGTGTGCTCATGGGCTGTTGGTGGACATTAAAAATAAACGTTTAGTGGATGCCTTAACGTTTTCTTCTCTCGTGTGCTCACTCGGCAGCGCAGCGTACGACGGGCTGTCGGGCTCGCTGTCGGGGGAGGACATTTTTCTCAGACTTTTGGCCGAGTTTCCTGATCTGTCGCTGCCCACTTTCTCCGCGCTCACCACCAAACATGGCGTGGAGCACCACGTCACCACCGAGGGGCCTCCGGTCTACGCCAGGGCCCGACGGTTGAACCCTTCTAAGCTAGCCGTAGCGAGGGCGGAATTCGCAACCATGGAACGCCTGGGGATCGTCCGCCGCTCCAACAGCCCTTGGGCCTCTCCTCTGCACGTCATGCCCAAGCCGAACGGCGGTTTCCGCCCGTGCGGGGATTACCGCCGACTCAAGGATGCCACTACACCTGACCGCTACCCGGTGCCGCACGTACAGGACTTTTCAGCGCATCTGGTACGCTCGGCTGGGCACGTTTTCATCCGCCACGACGCGCACAGGGGCCCCCTACAGCCCCCTTACGATGGGCCTTTCCGGGTTTTGGAGCAGGGGGACAAGCACCTGGTGGTCGACATGGGTGGCAAGGCGGAGACCGTCTCGGTGGACTGGGTTAAGGCTACTCATTTGGA